GAGCATATGATTATTATTATCAGAAGGGTTTTTTGTGGAGATTTAGTATTTTCATAGTTGAAAGCGTGGGTCAATTGAAGCTCGTGGATGCGCACTACTGAGAATTCCCAAAATAGGACGAAACGGTCGTCCAGTGCTTCCAGGTTTTCCCTGGTAGTCTAACTTCAATTGACTCACGCATTCAACTATGAAAATACCAATAATTTGTGTCTAGTCAAAATACAATTTCTTAACTATGCATTCAGTTAATGTGTTTAGTAATGAAATAAAACATATTTTGATTACTTAGTTGTCTGCTAGCCAAGTGTAAAGGAAGCCAAATTATCAAACATACCAAGCAACAAGATCCGTTTACACTAAGTCAAGCGGATTTAACCAAATATGCTGATCATAATTTTACTTTCCAATCCAAAACGATACACTACCCTCCAGGTGTTACTACAAATCAACAATCAATATCAGAATGTTTAAATAGTGACTTTTTCTGAGCGAGTGACGTAAAATACTTCGATTTTGCAATATTCTACTTTCAATTTCATCGAGACTATTTATCAAACTAATTCTCATTAGTAGATGATAACATGAATCTTTTTATTACTTTCCTATACTCAGTGTACAGTAGAAATAATAGCATCATTGATAATCAGCTCGTTGGAGAAACTCTTCAGTCATAGTCTTTCAATATTCTTTGCACTACACCTACCTCCTTTTATCATTTATTACCATTACTAGTAAATCATTGAGATAATTTTGTTACATGACCTTTAGATGTTTATTCTTTTCTACCGACTTTACATCACATTCCTTCTGCTGTACATTACATATGTACGTATCTTGATAAGTAGAAAAATGACATAAATGAAAGAAGTGATAATAATGTTGTTTAATTGATGTGGTTTACAATTTTGGATTAGTTTTTAGACAAATCAACATAAATTACATTCTGGACAACGTAAGGCAACAGAACTAGTAAATGCTGCAATGTAAAGTAACATATTTTAAATTAAATGAAATACCAGATTTTTAAATAGCTAACTAATCAACATAAAGTTTGTTGATGGATATTGATATATTAAATTCTAGTCATTGTTCAAATGTACCAGCTATAAGTAACTTTACTTTAAGACAGTTGACTTTTATTCTTGTGTATTTTTTCTTTTCCTAAAATCTCCCAGTCCGATGGTAATCACATATGTACGGTTCCCTGTGGAATTGTAATCCAGAAACCGTTTCAAACTTATTATATTCTCATAAACTAGCTGACTAACTGACAGCTTAGTAATCAATGCCAGAAAGTTTGATTATGTTCACTCATGAAAAGTATTGAAACGTTAGCTTCTTATTACCTGGTTCTAGGATAAGTCAATTGATACTCTGCTGCTATTAAGTTTACGTTAATTAACATTAATGCTAATTTGACGAGTAAATAACTTCACATTCAACATTACCTTCGTTATTTCTAAATGTCAGTTAAATCGACCAACCGTGTCTTCATCCAAGAATAAAAATCAGACAATCAACATCTTCAAACAAATAATATGGCAAAAATATACAGTAAATGTTTTGGTATTCGCTATAAAGATAATCAGAAAACAATTCTTAATGCTATCTAAGAATTTATGAAAGGAAAACTGGGCAGCAGCATATATAGGAGACACTCAATGTAAAATATACTCATAATAAATGCATATCCTTTAGTATTTACATGTTTCATTCCATTTAGAAAAGCGTGTTTTAAAACAAGTCTATGTTAAACTTTGGTGCAATATTAAAAAAAAGATGTTTCGTACACCTTTTTGATACTGGAAAGTAGTGATATTATTGGTATTCAAATGATTGGTTTATAAAGCTCAAAATGATATCTTTTTGAGCAACCATGAGGATCTTCTCACCAATATACGAATAAAGGCATTTATATTTGGATATCTGACTGTAAAACAACTACACTCGATGAAGTGGAGTGGATTGAAAAATTATCAGAAGGGGGCTTTGTGGAGATTTTAGTAATTTTATATAGTTGAGATCATGAGTCAATTGAAGCTAGACCTGGAAGCACTGGATGGCCGTTTCGTCCTATTATGGGACTCCTCGGCAGTGCGCATCCACGATCCCGCCTAGCGAGATTCGAACCCAGGAGCACTTAACCTCTATACCACTGAGCTGGCATCCAACAGTGTTAATGTCTAACTCCAACTAATCTAGGAAATTGAGCAACCATTCATCAATGTCTTCAGTGAGTTGATATCTCTCAACAGACCTGGTTGAACTCCACTGGAGTTGTTGTTATAAGATAAATTCTTTAATGTTTCTCTATATATAAACCTCCCCTTTTCAAAAGTGAAACTAATTATATTGTTAGCATGATGACAATTCGTTACTCATTGCGATTTAACGAAAATAACACTTCCAGTCTGTTCAGATATGTACAAAATATCCTCAGTAGTCTAATTATAATGAAAACTGAAGTGATCAATTCTATATTTCCGGATACAGTAAAGAATCTACATAAAATATACGATAATATTCTTCATTACCAATTTCACGTGTATCTAGTTTGTAAACATTCAAAACACGATAAAATATATTTCGACTATGTTCATTTACTAATTGTGTAAGTTTAATACCACTTCCTCACTTGATTATAAGTTTAATAAATGAATCATATCTCCAAAGAACCGATAAGAAATTACGCCAGCTATTATGGTATCTGCAATAGCTGAGCACCTTTAAAACTGGCATACCGAAAGTTAGGGCAAAATCAATAAGTTTTGGTTACTGAAATATAATCGCACTTTTAAATTCATTACTCCTATTCCAATTTATGGGAAGGTGATAAAATTATTCTTATTCTGGGTAGATAATTGTACCAGGCTTATTTTTAGTAGTCTCAACACTTGAATTTTATAAATGTCAATGAAACATCCATAACCTACAGATCACCAGTCATTAAGTGGCATAGTCCATTACTTTTTATTGTTGACAAAATCCAATTTTAAATTACTTCCAATAAGAGAAATATGATATTATACATATTATAACAAGTATCAAGGGTTGTTACTGTTACAAATAAACTGTTTTCCTGTAGACAGAGTGAGTCTTATGAAAACGCAGAAGTTGTGTAAATGCAATTTAGAATGCAGAGCATACAAACGTTCGTTAAAATTTATGATTAAAACAAATTACGCCAACATCAAAACTTAAATCTGTGGACTTTCAGCCATCGTTTTTTATATATAATTTCCACTCCATAACAAAGCACCATGAACACAGATTTATAATTAATTAGTAAAGGAGTATAAAGAGGTGCATAAAATAACATCGATAATATGTCCTCCCGGTACATACTGCCGATGTGTAACATGTGCATGCATCAAATTTCTGTAAAATTGTGCTAGTTTTACAAACATTGTTGCCAAAATTATAGAAGGTTAATTTGTTTTTGGTTTCACTTGGCAAACTGCATCTCACATCTCTTTATTTAAAGTAGGGCAAGAGATAAAACTAAAGTTCATAACCTTAGGAAGTAACTTTAATTTTGTGATAATTCCATACTACATGAATAATTGACAGTACAAAAACGGACCAACGAAGAGGTTCTGCATTATTGTATTTGTTTTTTCTGTCTGGCGGGATGTTATTTTCAAATGGACAAAATGAAATTATCTGAATAATCAATGCGAAAAAATGTCTTAGTAACTACTTTCTAAATAGTTATTTTTTGAATGATCATGTGAGAACACATACGTAACACAAATAATCATAATTACTAAACCTGAGGTGTTTGACCGAACACAAAAAATCTCTAAGCTATTCGAACAAAAGTTGACTATCTCAGTAATTGAAAAGTGGTACAAATATGTGTAAACGGTGAAACATGACAGAAAATCGATTTCAGTGGGAAATAACAGAATATGAGGTAGAGAATGAGGATACAGGTGACCACTGTTATATTTGAGGCAACTAGAAACAGACAGGACAGATGTATAAGTATGATGACCATTTTTGAAACAAATGCTAGAATCAGTACATATTACCGAAATACATCAAGCATTAACAGTAAAAACATCTTACTTAACAAGACCGGATCGACTAAACATTTTTAAATAAGGTCTTGCAATACTGTCAGGTTTTACTTAAACTGGAAAATTTAATCTACTTCACTTTCATATGAAAAGGCTCCAGTCATTTTTATTTAACTACCTTGGTACTTCCGAGTTCACTGTTACTGCACATTTTATCAAGATTCATATATATTTGTAGAAAGCTTCCCGTCTTATCATATACAAAAATTAAAGTATTAGTTTTATGCCAGATGACATAATTTAGTATAGTAACTAGTTAACGAAAAGATTCAAAAACCATGTTAACAGCGAAACAAAAGAGCCAAGCTTGTAGACTTCTACAGGTATCATTCAAATTAAATCAAAATTGAAGTTAAATGAATGACTTCTATTAAGTCAGTTATATGCAATAGGTTCCTTAAAAAAAAACATTAAATTAATTTTATTTCAGTAATAACTTGATTGTAAAAGTAATGGTCTCAGGTAGACAATAATAGCTAATATCAAAGCGACACTGGTACAATCTGTCACGTTAGGGTTTTTTAATGTTTATAATTTATCTTCTGTTCATTATTTGCTGAAAAATAGCTAAAAGTAATTTCAATATTATTCTGCAGGCTTATCTACCTTTGGTTTCAAAATCACAAGTTAACCAGGTATTCTGAAAAATACTGAAGTTTCTGCAGTTGATGGTAATATTTCGAGTGGATGTTGGTCGGATACTGACAACCCTTTTGAAAAAAGATCGAAATTCAACAAGGTCAAATTACTGAACAGATGAATTTCGCTAGTAGAGTGACTATTTTAAACCGTCTTCCTCTTTTTTACTTTTTACATTCTGAAGCTTCAGTACCTCAGATCAAGTATGTTTAATCATCAATTGAAAGGAAAATTCGGCCAAATATTTGTTTCTGATATGATTAATTGTTGTTAACTTACCTCACGAAATTTAACCATAGCCCTAGCGATTTTAGTATCTGGAGGAATCCAAGTAAAGTGTATCTCACGACGATAACATTTTAGAATAAATTGACCTGGAAGTGAATGACAGTAAAGCGGTTTCACAATAAGCAGCGGAGGTTTAGGGACTTCATCTTCAGGAAACTGAAAATTGTCTACATCTGTCCGGTTTGAATTCGTTAAGACTGCTGTTACATTTGAAGTTGCTAATGTTGTTGTCAATAGTGTATTGTCCATTTTGTGTTTAAATTTTGTGATGAAGTTAGAGGAATTCGCCGTATATTGTAAATCCTCAAAATTACTTTCCTTTTCCTGTAGAGTAATTAGAACTTCAGTTTGAATGGTATCCAAATGAGAATTAATATCAACAGAATTATTTCTTCGGATGATTTTGTAAATAAACGTTTAGCACAGTGGCTGTGGATACTAAATTGATATGAATTCTTCAACTGTACAGTTAACTAGAATTAAGTTTCAATGGTATGATAAACAAGTTGAAATAGATCCTGAAGATGAAAAGATTTCAGCATACTTTTCTGTGCAATTACAATCTAAAATTATTGGAAAAGTACATATTCATCCTTTTTTTATCTCAAGGAAAACAACTTAAACAGTGTTAAATATAATCCTAATTATAATGTTCCCTTGGAAGCTCAAAATATATGATGCCCAAGAGTAATTGGATGAAGGTTACGTATGCATAAGGGCATGTGGATAAGTACACGTATACAACAATAAGTGAATAGATAAATTTAAACCATTTCAATATATGTCAGCACGCAGATTATTCTATCTCTTTGCCCAACTATAGAAGCACCGAATGTACAGCATAACAGATGTTGTTTTAAGGTAATAGTTACTGGAATAAATAGAAGAGACTTACAAAGATTGTGATAGGTTAGTTACATGTAACATGTGATTCATCTCCCTTGTAGGAAAATCTCAGTAGTGAATTTTATTGTTTTATTGTAGGTATCATAGTATACTGAATGCGATAAATGTGAATAGGATACCTGTTAGTGTGTAAGTGCATATTCTTGCGTGCGTATGCACGAAAATTGACTTGCTTTAGGGCATATAAACAAACCTATTAGTATGAATGCAAATATTTGCCTATCTTGCATAGTATTGAATGTCTTGGGCACACAGAACGTAGTGTTACAAACAGGTCGAATGATGATAATAATGTCCATGTATGTCTGTATCATGCTTGTCTAATCTATTTGATAAATTTTTGTGGGTTTAAAAACAAATAAGAGCAAATTTCCATGGGCATGGTTTAGTCAACAACATTAGGACAAACAGTTATCCTAATTTGTGCTAACAAATGTTTCTTTGTTGTCTCTACATGCATTCTCTTCCAGACCAGTATTTAGATCAAATTAACTCCAATTGTTTCCGATTGCAGAAAGCAATAGTAACTGCCATCGATATACCCTAATCCATGAAATTAATTTAATATCAAGGAATTCTGTTTAGCATTGAGAAGTTCGCTGAATTAGTTGTTCAGTCCCTTCTTTTAGTGTCATCTCAGCTAGTCTTTAAAATGATAAACTCACTAATATCCTAAGAGTACTTGTTAGGGAGTAGACTTGGGATCTTATTTTACATCTACCACTCGTATTTACTGTAGCGCAGTTTCAAACGTGTTAACAGATGATTAAAATTGTGAATTCTGCACATTACACTAAAATTGACACTCAAATTATGAAAAAAAAGTAAATCCTAATCTGATACACATCTATACATACATGGATCTTCTCTTATGAGTTCCGTCATTTATTTATTGTAGCAAAAACGTTATTCTGCTAAATTCTAACTGAAATTCCAGGATGAAATTAACTGTATTTTCTAATGCAGCCTGAAGCAAGCCAAGTTAATTCTAGTTAGTGTGTCTGGAGATCTCAGTTTGGTTTCAGTAACCCTGCAATAAAATTTACATATTATATATAACTCACAACTAGAGTGTGAAAACTTATTTCATGGATCGACCTTAGCAAGATAACCGTCGACAACTAGGATCCACAAAAAAGTACACATCTCGTCAGGATTTAAAAACGTTGAATGATTTGTTTTGAATCCTGAGCTTTCGAAAGTATTTACTTTACTCATACTATACTATGATAATACTGTGGATGATATACATTTCAATACCCTTATTAAATGTCCGTGGGAATAAAAGGAGCACATAAGTCACTGCAGTCAGTTTAAAGCCCTATGTTTTGTAATTAACTTCTTTAATGACATCAGCCTAAGAATACAACTGAAAAATGCTCACTTTTTAACATTACATATGTAATGTATTAATTATGTGGTTCAGATCATTATTCAAGTTAAAAATAGTGAAAAATATACTCAAATTTCACAGTCTGAAATGGCGATGGGAGATTGTCACACAATATCCCGGATCAATTTAAATTGTCACAGTCGAAATCATGAGTCAATTGAAGCTAGACCACCATCGAAAACCTGGAAGCACTGGACGACCGTTTCGTCCTATTTTGGGACTCCTCAGCAGTGCGCATCCACGATCCCGCACTCGCGAGATTCGAACCCAGGACCTACTAGTCTCGAGTCAGAGCACTTAACTGACAGACCACTGAGCCGGCATTCGATGGTGTTTATGTCTAACTCCAACCAATTCCAGGTTTTCCATGGAGGTCTAGCTTCAATTAACTCACGCTTTCAACTATGAAAAATACTAAATCTCCACAAAAACCCTTCTGAAAGATAGGTTTGCTTATTAATCTTCGTGTGGCTTAACAATATATATATATATATATTGACACATCTAACTAAAAATGTCATTTACCAACTGTGAATGATTTATATTACTATGGTCTTGACAACGACATCAACTTTTTGTAAGTAGATAAACTGTGAATCGATAAAGATAAAATCGGTAAACATAAAAATCATAAAGACGTTTTTCGATGCATCAAGAAATTTATTAAGAATCCATTGTTTATTACATGTTCTATTATTAGGCACAACGGAATTCATTATGAATGTTGCACAAGTGGATACCAAAACTCAAATATTCAAGGAGTTCTAGAGGTTAACCTGTTTGCTTGATTTGTACTAAATCAAATCCAACTTATACTACATTTATTCCATAATGCATCGTTCATGTTTAGATTTTGAAACTATGAGCTTAAATTCCAGCAATAATTCCCCTACATTTATTAATGACTTTATTAATAAATAAATAGACAATTGGATTGCGTTAGAAGGTAGCCTGGTGTTTCACTTTTTATTTTTGCTGTGATTTGATTAAAATCAAATGATGTTATCACCTGAGATTTATTGATACAGTGACTTAAAAAACTAATTTAACTGTACAATTTTTACCCGTAAATAATACTGACCTAGACATCTAGTCTCATCGTCAAATTATCGTAATGTAAATTTGATCGATAACACTAATTAAAGATAATAATGACTTACCAGCATGATGTCGTTTATTTTCCAGTGACCAATCAATGAACACGATAACTCTCAAACAAAGGTGGATAGTGTGAAAAATAATCACCCTAAACAACGTAACCTTAAAGCAAGCTCATAGTTTATAATCCCTACAAACTGTTTGCAATTATTCCTGTTCATGTCATCTTTTAAGCCTAGATCTGTGGAAAAATAAGTTTAAATTCAGTGGTAAATTCGGTTTGAATCATTAGCACCAAAATATTATGCGATTTGATAAGTTTCGAGTGTGTACTGAAACAGAAGTTAGAGAATTCATATTAGTCACCAGGGGTTCGCAAAGTAAACTGTTTGAAAATTAGGTAAGTGAATAAGTAGACTGATATATTAAGATCTAACTAGGGTTTTCTTCACTTCATTTCTACATACATACTTATTCTTGTAGGATTGTGACATCAGAAATCGTTGTAATTATTATCATATATCTTCTGAATGAAAGTTTACTTTGAAGGGATTTGTCTATTTAATTCTATTTACTTCTACCAGGACTCGTTCATGAACTGACTCAAGAAATCTAAATATCATATGTTTATTTAGACGATTAAATCAATCCTTCTTAGATTTATTCATAGATTTTTATCAATAGTAAGATTATTTTAAAGTGGTGTGATTTCAAACTTAATATATTAACTTAAACTTTTGTTCATACGTTTATTAGACTAAAGTTTGCCTGAGTAGTGAGCTAGTTTACAATCATCCTTCTTTCAGATTAGTTATCTTAGTTTTGATTGGGTTCTTCCTGATTTCCAAACTTAGGTAACTATAAAATACACTTCTGATCACTGCTACGCTTTTATTGAAATTCAATTGTACAATTCTTTGAAAGAGATCATTCGAACGAGGAATTAGAAAAAAAGCACTAACTACATGAATTTCAACGTCGGATATAACCAGTTTAATACATTTCATTTACTTAAACTTCCACTTTTGGCAACTAATTTCATTTGACAACAATCAGGTAATCAGTACTAAAATGTTTAAACTAAATACTTCTTTCCTGTATATTATCTAATAACTCAAGTTTTCATTTTAATGACAGATTTCTCTAATTAAGATTTATGGGTTTAGTCTTAGTGAAATAACATGAGTTCATTTATTTCATAGGTTCTTTGAAGCTGCTTACAACCTAATAACAACAGTGTTAACCTATAAGAAAAACAAAGCAAGTACATATACCAATGGAATTCAAAACTCATGTTTCGTTCTGTTTGGGACATATCAAATGGATGTACTTGGATCCCAGAGTTGATGTTCACTCCGGTATTCTAATCCAGTACCTTACAGTGTAAATACTAATGCGTTATCCACTAAGTTAATGAGTTCAAACAGTCATTGGATCGTCCGATGGAGTGAATTTTAATTCATTTGTATTTATTGCTTGAATATTCGTATTTATGTTGAGAACTGGAATTAATCAGTCTTTTTTCTTATGTGTACAGTTCTAAATAAAAGTGAAAAAAGTTCGACTAACAATAAAAGGGCTTCGATCAGAATGATATTCAGTCGTTTACACCAATTATTTTCAAGGGATGGAATTCTATTCCCATGTTTTTCCTAGTTTTCTATTCTAGACTATTGATGTATTCTACTTATAAATTAATCATTAAATAAACATTTGAACAATTTTTTTGAAATTCTCCCACAATTGCTATCGCCTACTATTTTCTATTTTTACATTCAATTTTATTCAAGGCCTTTCTGAAATAAAGCATTTATGGTTGATTGATTTATACAGCTTGTTTGAATCCTTGGCGTGGAAGGTGCTGGGTAAATATACTTGCTTTGTTTTTCTTAAAAGTCAACACTATTTTTTTTAATGTTGTAAGCCATTTCTGTTCTATTTCTCTGTAGTATAGTTAGTATAAACGTTCAAAGTTGATAAAACTGTATCTGTTATTTCTTGTGCGTTCATTAGACAAGTCATTTGTAAAAAACTCAATATATCTGGTTGAATGTTGACTAATTTTCAAAAGTACATAGAAAATCTTTTTTCTAGTAATCAAGCGCTCGTGCGCGAGACTGATACGTCCTGGGTTCGAGTCTCACGAGATCGTGGATGCGCGCCGCTGAGGGGTCCCATAATAGGACGAAAGGGCCGTTCAGTGCTTCCAGGTTTTCCATGGCGGTCTAGCTTCA